CTCTCTCCCTCTCCCTCTCCCTCTCTCTCTCCCTCTCCCTCTCCCTCTCCCTCTCTCTCTCCTTTTGGATTGTGGTTTACGGCCTTATTTCTAAAGCTGCTCTTATTCACTTGCTCCCAGTAACCTCCCAAGGGTAGGAAAAAGTGACTCTCTCTGATTCTAACCAAAGCTTGATGTTTCCTCTTACATGCTCTGCTTGAACCAACAGTGACTGGTAGTTAAGTAGATTCTTCCTAAATTATCTCCACTTCATTGGGCCAGAGCGATAGTTCAGTGAGTGGGATGCTTGCCTGGCACACAGACAACCTGGGTTGAATTCCCAGCACCCCAGAGGATTCAATGAGCCCTCCAGGAGTGAACCCTGAGCACAGAGTCAGGAGTAAGTCCTGAGCACCATTGGATATGACCCCAAAATAAATAAATAAATAAAATTTTTAAATAGAAACATAAATTCTCCTCACGTTGAATGAAGTAGTAAGGAGGAAGGAGATTAAAGAAGCCAGCACCTCAGGGATTTTATTCCCCACCCCATCCTTTTCCCAATGAGTCTATCTGACTGGAAGGTGGGCTTCTTCTCATCCCTTAGGGTGGCTGACCAATGGCACCTCTCAAAGGACAGCCACATGGTAGGAGGCTATGTCCAGACTTGGGTATCAGCAGATCTGTTTTCAAATCCCAGCTCCACTAATAACCGTTGCATCAGACTGCATCTCAATGAGACTTGATTTCCCCATCTGAAGGGAAAACAATATCATCCTTTCCAACTCCCTTTCCTTCCTGTCCCCAGCGACCTTCCCTAGTCAGCTTCTCCTGATCATGAAGGCACCTCACCCATCACCTGCTCCAGGAAGCCAGGGTTGGCCCCTTCCCACCATTCACCACTTGGACTAAGGGTGTCTCCTCAGGCAGACAGTCCCCTGCACCTCCACAGAGGTGCCTATCAGTCTCTGCCTATCAGATCTGCCCCAGATGTGAAGACCTTTCTCCAAGGATACTTCAGAGAACCCAGGAAGCAACTCTGAAGTAAGAGGCTGGTTTCCACGCAGGAGGCCTGGATCCAACAGAACGGAAGCCAGGAAGCCTCACCTCTTCCCTGCCTCTCCCAGGGTGAGTGCAGGGACTTCAAAGGATTCTGTGAGTTAGTTCAGAACATGGAATTTTCCTCAGGGCAGTGACCCTTGAATCTAACAGAACTAAACAGACACCATGTTCCGGTTCCTGTCTGACGAGCCTGCCTCCCTGCCTGACCACTGGCTCACAGCTGCAAAGTTCCCCTGGTGCTGAGGAGGCCTGAAGCTTAGCCGCCGCCCTTGTGGAGCCCTGGAAAGGAACAAAGGTAGCGCTCACTCCCACTTGTCATCATGGTCATTTATACAGAGGTTTGTCTTCATTCACAGTGAGCTGCCGCTGTTGAGCGCTGACAAGGCTATACAGTTCTCTCGCCATCTGGGAAGACTCTGCCACCAGCCACAGTGCCAGGGCTGGGAGGGGACTCTGCTCCATCATCTAGAGGTGGTCTCAGGCTCAGCCCAAACACTGAGACCCAAAAAGTCACTCCCACATAGGTCAGACCCACCCCATTTTGTACCAACTCACCAGCTGCCACCTCTATCATGGGAATTTCTGTGCGAGCTACGGGGCCAGTCCTGGGCTTTCCAGATGGGTGCACAGGAAAGAAGGGACTCAGGAGAAGCACAGAAGAGTCGGAGACAGCGGCCACGCTCAACATGAGCGAGCAGGAGCAAGCCAGGTCCATTGCTGCCTAGGGCACCGTCACGGACCGTGGCGGTCAGTGATCATGGGTCAGGAGTCATGTCTGCTGCACCTGTGCAGTGCTGGAGTGGGATGAAACAATGACTAAAGGGGGACACTCCACCACCCCACTGAGGACAGAAATCAATGCAGGTGACAGAAGAACATCTGTGGTAGATTTTGCTAACGGGCTTTGTGGCTTTCTGAAATTGGTGTGTTGGGAACTGGGTTCTGGGGTGGAATTTTAAGAGTAAGTTCTACCCCCACGGCGATTCTGTAATAAAAAAATTAAAGAGTATGTTCTATTTATATTTTTTCATTTTACATTCCATTTTGATGGCAATCTTTTTTTGTTTGTTTGTTTTTGGAGTCAAACCAAGCAATGTTTGCTCCCGGCTCTGTGCTCAGGTATCATTTCTAGTGGTGATCTTCTGGGTGCTGGGGATTGGCTCTGGTCAACTGTGTGGAGGCCAGCACCCTACCCGCTAAACTATTGCTGGAGATCCCCTCGAGGATCATCTTTAAAAGACGTTTTTACTGGATGGGGGCAAAACTCTCTGTTATCTCAAACTAGAGGGCATTCTTAGTCAAGCAAAACCATAGTTAGTTAAGATATAATCTCTCACACAGGAATACACAATGCCCTAGAGCTTCACAAATGCACAAAACATTCTTCACGCTCACTCCCAATTAACTTCCCTTTAGAGGGGTCCACACTTTACACCAGCTTGAAAGACACAGCGTGAGATTCCCTGTCCTCCTAGGCCCTCGTTCTCCCCCCTGCCCTGCACGCAACCACTCCAGAAACAAGACAGCACAGGGGCGCTGAGTCACAAAGGGAATGGCTAAAAGAATAAACGTGCCCACGAACTGCACATTCTCTCCCTTTTGGTTTCATTAAAAACTAAGGTCCCTTTCTCTGAATCAGAAACCACCAAAACATCAGAAAAGCCACCATTTGTGGACACTTCTGAGATGTGCCATGTGGCATCTAAAGATTCCATTTATTAGAAGTTTCAAGCCCTTTGAGCAGACACACACACACACACACACACACACACACACACACACACACACACACACTGGGAACCGCTTTCTCCATCTCTGGCTCTGGGGGACCTAGCAGACCTGACTTCCCCAGGGTCACTGATGCCTGAATCGAGGAGAAGCAGCGGGGTGTCAGGGAAAGACCCCAGAGACCAGTTTGTCATAGGGGAAGCATGCGCAACAGCATGGGAATAAGACCCGCTCTCAGGGCCAGAGCGATAGCACAGTGGGGAGGGTGTTTGCCTTGCATACAGCACACCCGGATTCGATTCCCAGCATCCCATATGGTCCCCTGAGCTCTGCCAGGAGTAATTCCTGAGTGCAGAGCCAGGAGTAACCCCTGTGCATTACCAGGTGTGACCCAAAAAGAAAAAAAAAAGACCTGCTCTCTCCAGGTCTCTGATGTCCCTCACCCTGTGTGCACACACGTGACCCCGAGGCCCTCTCTTCTACTAGACACTGCCAAGGGACTCCCTGTCAACCACCCACGAAGACACATTCACTCTGGAAAGGCCCCAAGTCTTGGCAGACTTGGTGCTCATGAGAGATTGCCCAGGGGAACCGTGGCCTTGAGGCCTTTGGAACACAGAGGGGTCAGCTCTCCTCCCACAAGGACACTATCTCTGACCCTCCGTTGGAGGATTAAGCAGGGCTGGGCAGCATGCATCCTACCAGCCATAAGAGGCCAGTGCAACCATGTGGTGTGGGCCTGGTACTGGACAGGACAGACAGATGCTTCTCAGAGGCAGCCTGAGGCCTCTCTAGCTATATTTTGGGGCCTGCAAATGATGCTATAAATAAACAGTGGCCCTTGACCCAAAACAAAAATTTTTTAAGTTCCCCATCCCTGATTTAGACAGTCAAATAACTGACTTTGCTTAGTTTAAGAGTGAAAATAGATCAGAGAAGCCAACTAAGCACCATCCCTGTGAGAGATTTGAGCTACACTGCAGGTGGAACCAGAAACAGTGAAATCTCAAAAGGATAAAATGGGCTGCAGAGATAGTACAGCGGGCAAGGTTCTTGCCTTAAAGCAGCCGGCCCTGGCTAGATCCCCGGCACTGCAGAGGTGCCCCAGCCCTGCCAGCAGGTATTCCTGAGCTCAAAACCAGGAAGAAGTTCTGAGCACCGCAGGGTGTGGCCCAAACACTCTGCCCCACAAAAATAAAAATAAAGGAACAAAATGACATGGCCGAGCTTTGGATTCCAGGCCTTTCCCTCTCTGGAGGTTGCTAACTGCCTTGCCACGGGGGGAAGCAACAGCCAAGCCAGAACTGCTCTCGTTGTGGCAGAGGAAGTTGCAGGTGCTGCCCTCTCCCCAGGGACTTGCTGAGTCCATTCCCTGCATTCCTCCAGCCTCGGGAGGGGAGCAGGGCAGGTCGGCACCCCCACTATGGTTTCCTAAGCACAACCAAAGAACCTCTTTGTCACGCATCTTAGGGCAATGACAGGGTGGCCCCAGACATTTAGAAACAAGAGAACTTAATCTGAAAACTGAACAATTAAGTCACAGAATGGGTCACAGCAGAGAACTCAAGGTCACCCAGAGAACCAGTGGGCTCAGAGGCCAGATAAAGTTCCCCCCAGAACAGGGTGGTGGTCTGCATGGGGCCTGAGGGGCAAGACTGAGAAACACACACACACACACACACCATACACACATATACATACACATCATACACACACCATACACACACACTCACACACCATGTACACATACCATACACACATACACACACCATATACACATACACACACATATATAAACACCATACACACACCATACATACACACCATATACACCATACACACCATACACACACCGTATACACATACACACATCATACACACACAACCATACACACATTATTCACATTAACATACAACACACACAAACACAATCACACACACAACAAACACACTACACACACCATAAACATTCACATACATAACATACACACATTCATACAAACACAGACAACAAACACATTCACATACAGCAGTAACACATACCACACATTCACACGTATCACACACACACCTTTACAAAAACATACACTACATGCAATAAACACACTTCCACACAGCATACACACAGCTCACACAAACACATTCACATACAACATACACACTCACACATTCACACACACTGGGCCCCCTCTGGACCCAGCAGCACCCCCAAGGTGCCCCCCAGAACTCACGGGTCCTGCTGATATGCTCCCCGCCGCTGACCCCGCTGTTCCCTGCGCCCAGTAGTTCCTGGGTCAGCTTGTCAGGGTTTGGGCCCCAGTGGACCTTCGGCAAGCCAGACAGACACGCCTTGGGGTCTCTCTTCCTTTGTGGGTAGCGGGGTACCGAGAGCCCCACGTGGATGGATCGGCAGTCTGTGGGCACAGCACAAACAGAGGGGAGACCCGTTACTGGAAGCTGAGTTTGCCCTTCACATCGTCCAGTGGAGAGGGATTCTGGAAAGGGAGCCCCCCCACACCTGGTTGATAGTCCCCCAGGTCTCCACAGCTCCCTGATGCTGCAGGGAACTCTGACTCTTGAGGAGGAACTCTGCAGGCTAAACAGAACTCCCACCACCTCCTCTGCCTTTGTCCAGAGTCACAAAGGCCACACGTGGCTTAGGACAAGCTAGAAGAAAGACGTTGTGGGGCCACCTCAGCTTGAAAGGCGGCAGTCCCTCCGCAACTGCTCCGGGAGAGCTGTGAGTCTCTACAGACAAGGGCCATTTCCACAACAACCAAGTACTCCGCCAATGACTGCTATTACTCTCTGATAAATGCATGTTCTTTTAGCATTGGACTCTTGTCCATGGTGTACTGGCTGGTTAACTCGACAATGCATCATAATGACTACTGGCATGAACGGTTTCTCTAATGGGCAATGTTCTGATCTCAAAGCTCTAACTTGAATGTGAGAGGGAGATTTTCGTGTCCCCGTGAATGGTGACAGATTGGCTGGTGTGCCTCCTTCCTTCTCCCTCCCTCACCTGGGGAGCCAGTTCATGTAAGATTGCCTGCCTGCGTTTCCAGGTCGGAAGTTCTCTCTGATCTAGGCATTTTCAGGCCTCCCAACAACAACAGGGTCTATTCCTTATTCTTTATTTAATTTCCTTTTTTCTGTCGTTGGGACTAGTGGGGGCTCACACACTTGGCTGGTTACTGAGCTCACGCATGTGCCTGTGGGCAGTGGCACCCTGGCCACGGGGCTCACACACTTGAGTTGCAGTGCTGGCATGTACTTGGTTGCACAGCACCAAAGACCACACCCTCTATATAGGATCCCTGGCTGAGCCGTGGATCAAGGCAGCTCCAGGGATCAAGCTGGAGGCCTCTGTCCCAGATCTCGCCCAAGACCACCGCTACTTCCCACCCTGGAGACCAGGAATGGGGATGGGAAGCCCCGGAGATATCCAAAGGGGGTTCTCCATGCCTCCATGGCCTGGGTGCTCCTTGCCTCACACTTCACCTGCTCTGTGGCCCTCCCGTCTACATCTCTGAGACTCAGCATCCTCACGTACAGGGTGGGCATCAGCAGCCTTTCTCGATAGGGTGGGCAAGACTGAAGGGGCGGCGAAGAGGGATATGGCATGGGAGAGGTAAGGGGCAGAGCACAGGAGTGGGTGCTTATTAATGGAATCAGGGGAGATGTTTGAGGGGGGCTTTCTTTATATCCTGGGTGTATTTTGTCCCTTTTTTTCCTAGTTTCTCTCGTGCTCATCAGAATGTGCTAGGGTAAGTCTGCACTGTGAGCATTGGCTGTTCCTCTCCCTGGGTCCCCCTGGTTCTCCTCCCACTGGGCATCTGCAGTGGCTCCCGACGGAGCCAGCTTCTGCATGACTCCTCCTCCCTGCCTTCCTCTCCATGGCCTCTCCCACAAGCGGGGGGGGGGGGTCTGCAGCAACCCCCAGATGGCCTCTTCAGGAGAGTCTGTGGCTGCTTCTCTGTAGAATGTGGACGCTGAGTCAGCAATTCTGCAACCAAATGCTCAACCACTGACCTGGAGCCGAGTCAGCAAACCTGAGCCACTTCAGCCCCTCTTGCAGGAATTAAACCGAGCTCTGATTTAAGACTCCAATATGTTGACCGTAGAGCATGTCTGGATTAGACAGCTTGTAAAGAGAGGTGATGTAATTTTTGTGTTGAGGAACTTGCACCCTACTCATGCCAGCAAAGTGCCAGTTCTCTGGCTCCAGGTTGAATGTGTGACCCCTTTAATCAACAGGGAAGGTGGGTCCCACCAATCTCGAGGAGACAATGGAGTGAGTTCGAGGGAAGACAGCAGCTCCCTGGATGCTGAGCTGGAAAGGCTGTTCTTAAGACAGTTAAGGAACCCCCAGTCCATCCTGGATGTATGTCCACTGGGCCTTACCTTCCTGATCTTGACTCCGCCTCCGAGAGTTAGTGGGGTCCAGCTTCCCTATCCCAACCGTCTCATCCTCCACCATCATTGCTATAAAGCAGAAGATAAAAACAACCTCAGTATATATGATATAAAAAAGCATTTTATTTCAAAGAGAAATGGTCAAGGGTTACAAAGATAATACAGGGGATAAGATTCTTGCCTTGCATGGGGCTGACCCCAGTTTGATATCCGGTACCCCCAAGAACCACCAAGTGTGATCCCTGAGCACTGAGTCAGAAGTAACCTGATTGTGGGCACCACACAAACAACAAGAGAAGTGGCCAAATCCACACTCAGAGTGAAAGGTCTGAACCCTATTGAAAAGAATTAAGACCATAGATGTATAAACAAATAGAATTTCAAATATATCTATATGCATATGTAGACATAGAAAATCTCCCCCAAATAGAAAACATACCTCTTTTTCAAAAACAAATGGATAGGGAGAGAAACTGGGGATTTTGAGAAGTTCTCTCACCAACTGAGAGAAATTGGTGCAGCAAAAGTCACGCTGATGGTGTTGGAACACTAAATGCTTGAAACAACTGTGTAATGAACAACTACATAAATCACGGTGTTTTTTAATACAGATTAATTATAATGGAACATTTAGAAAGAGAACCTATCTTCTAGGTCACAAGCATGCGCAGCAAATGCCCTACCCCCTGCACTGAGGCTCCAGCCAGCCGGAAACTGACCCTCCAGTAAAGGGTATGGTGGTGGGGGGGATATGCCTGAAACCCCATCGTTAGCAATGGAGTGAGTCATGGTGTTCCAAACAAATGCTATCAATTAAGGGGCCGGAGCTATAGTACAGTAAGTAGGACACTTGGCTTGCTCACAGATGACCCAAGGTCAGTGCCCGGCATCCCATATGGTCCCCTGTTCCCCTCCAGGAGTGACTCCTCAGTGCAGAGCCAGGAGTAAGTCCCGAGCACTGCTGGTAGTGATTCCCCCAAAACATAGGTATTCCCCAAAGAAAGCAGAAGAATGTAAAGGTAAAAGAAAAAAGTTACTAAAGTGAAATATAAAACAAATACAGAGACGTTTCCATCCAAGAGGCAATTATTTGAAAATCTTGTTAAAATTCTATGGAGGCCACACATCCGGACTCGCCACTGGTTGAGGCCATTGCCCACATCTCCTGAGAGATGCCATCCAGGAGAAGGCGAAGGAGTAGAGTACACGCTGCCCAGACATCTCTCGAGAGAGCTATCCCCGTAGCTGAGCATGGGCCTTAGAAAGGGTTTAGACCAGCTCCAGCTGAGATCAGCGGCTGCACAGTCCATGTTTAAAATTCCCAGATGTTTAACCCCCAGAAGGCACGGTGCCCCAGAACTGCGTGGCAGCACCCCATCTCTGCTCAAGCACCCAACTATCAAGTCTTCACCTCCATCTGAGTATCACCAGGAGTGGCCCCACTTCCCCAGTACCAATAAGAAGGCTCTTGTATTAAAAATAATACTGTCACTGTCACTGTCCTCCCGTTGTTGCTCGAGTGGGCCCAGTAATGTCACCATTGTGAGACTTGTTACTGTGTTTGGCATATCGAATACATCACGGGTAGCTTGCCAGGCTTTTGCCGTGAGGGCGAGATACTCTTGGTAGCTTGCCGAGCTCTCCAAGAGGGGCCCCGTCCAGGTTGGCCGCATGCAAGGCAAACACCCTACCTGCTGTGCTATTGCTCCAGCCTATTAAAAATAATAATAAGACATTGAATCCTTATTCAAGGGAGGATGGTTCAAATAGCTGGAGTGCATACTTTGCCTACAAGAGCCCCTGGTTTGGTCTCCAACACAACACCGTCCCCAGAGTACCACTGGAAGTAGCCAAAATAAATTGAATTACAAAGCAAATAGAATTCCCAGTTACACCCGAACCTAGGTAACATTCTCTCCCCAGCATTTCGTCTCATAGCCATCAGTGAAATGTCAGGTAATGTGCTTTCTGGTTCTGTTCAGTGCACACTAAAATTCAATGAGGTCCATAATGCTCACCCCGCGTTTTACAGCTGAGGTAACGAAGACAGAGATTAGGCTGTCTTTCCTGGGAACCAGAGCCAGTTAACAGAGAGCCAAGAATCAGACTGCATTACCTGCTTCCCAGCCCTGAGGAGGGAGAGGTGAAGCCATGAGAGCAGAGGGAAGAGCTGTGAGGTTTCTGCTTCCCTCTTCCTCTTGTGGATTCCCATGCACAGGCCTTGCATGTAGACCCCTTTCTCTTGACTTACTCGCATCCACAAAGCGCTACGACAGTACTTCGTCAAAGGAACTGCATAGGCAGGAGAGTCTGCAAGTGCAGTTACTACCCCTCTGCTCATCCCCATCTCCCCACCCATCTGTGGATCATGTGTCACCGCGGGTGCAAGCACGGCTTGAGAGTGAGGACCACCCCAAATGCTCTTCTGTCTGTGCCAGAGAATGGCTCCTTTCCGCTCCACTGGCCCTACCACCAGACCAAAAACACTCCTGGGTCCCAGAGCGGCCCCACCCTGCAAGCCAAGTCAAAGCCCCAAGCCTGTAAGCCTGTGACCCTAGTGCCACCACTGCCATTCAACAGGAACCACCACCTCCTCAGCCTCCCAGTCAGCAGCCTCCATGTCCGTGGCAGGGGGGAGGGGTACAGAGTCAGCCTTAGGGTAGACAGTTCTGAACAGCTAAACCCAGGGATCAAATTATCAGTTTCATACACACACACACACACACACACACACACACACACACCAGCAGAGCATATGACTTCTGTAGGAGACGCTTAAACAAACAGAACAGGACAGTTTCGTTATTAGGTGGAAGGGGTGAAACGCAGTTAATTAATCTAGAGACGAGATCGGACATCCTCATCTCTAGAAGAAAACTAAGGAGAAAACAAGGATTGTGTCACACTGGCCAGTC